TCACTATACAACCTCCACCATCTTCACTATACAACCTCCACCATCTTCACTCTACAACCTCCACCATCTTCACTATACAACCTCCACCATCTTCACTATACAACCTCCACCATCTTCACTATCAACCCCACCATCTTCACTATACAACCTCCACCATCTTCACTATACAACCTCCACCATCTTCACTATACACCCACCTCCACCATCTTCACTATACAACCTCCACCATCTTCACTATACAACCTCCACCATCTTCACTATACAACCTCCACCATCTTCACTATACAACCTCCACCATCTTCACTATACAACCTCCACCATCTTCACTATACAACCTCCACCATCTTCACTATACAACCTCCACCATCTTCACTATACAACCTCCACCATCTTCACTATACCACCTCCACCATCTTCACTATACAACCTCCACCTTCTTCACTAATACACCTCCACCATCTTCACTATACAACCTCCACCATCTTCACTATACAACCTCCACCATCTTCACTATACACCTCCACCATGTTCACTATACCACCTCCACCATCTTCACTATACAACCTCCACCATCTTCACTATACAACCTCCACCATCTTCACTATACCACCTCAACACACATCTTCACTATACAACCTCCACCATCTTCACTATACAACCTCCACCATCTTCACTATACAACCTCCACCATCTTCACTATACCACCTCCACCATCTCTTACACGTGATACCACCTCCACCTCTTCACTATACAACCTCCACCATCTTCACTATACCACCTCCACCATCTTCACTATACAACCTCCCCATCTTCACTATACACCTCACCATCTTCACTATACAACCTCCACCATCTTCACTATACACCTCCACCATCTTCACTATACAACCTCCACCATCTTCACTAATACCACCTCCACCATCTTCACTATACAACCTCCACCATCTTCACTATAACCTGGGAGTTACCACTCCACCATCTTCACTATACAACCTCCACCATCTTCACTATAACAACCTCCACCATCTTCACTATACAACCTGCAGTCTAGTCCTCGATTCTATACAACCTCCACCATCTTCACTATACACCTCCACCAGTCTTCACTATACCACCTTCACCATCTTCACTATTACAACCTCCACCAGTCTTCACTATACCACCTCCACGCATCTTCACTATACACCTCCCACCATCTTCACTATACCACCTATGGCTTCAGGTAACCACCTCCACCATCTTCACTATACAACTCCACCATCTTCACTATACACCTCCACCATCTTCACTATACCACCTCCACCGATCTTCACTATACAACCTCCACCACTTCACTATACAACCTCCACCATCTTCACTATAGCAACCTCCACCATCTTCACTATACCACCTCCACCATCTTCACTATACACCTCACCATCTTCACTATACCACCATCTATCACTCCACATCTTCACTTACAACCTCCACCATCTTCACTATACAACCTCACCATCTTCAGTATACCACCTCCATCCATCTTTCACTATACTACCTCCACACATCTTCCTATAATACTCTCACCATCTTACTATACAACCTGCCAACATTTCACTATACATACCTCCAGCACGTTATAAGCCACCTTTGTTTCCCAATCATTCTACGTTCAGCCTCACATCTTCAACTATAGCCCTTACCATTTATACCGCTTACCATTATTATTACAACTGGCAATTATATGACATCACCTCATTTTTATCATAGTATTAAAGCTTCATATTCTAGGCAGTTTAGTCTATAATACCTTATTTCACTATACTTCACTTTGCTCCAACCATTCTCAATATGCCTACCTAGCAATCTCAGCTATAGTTTCACATCAGACATGCAGCTAACCATTGAGCATCCACAACCAGTTAGTTTATTTGTATATACTCCTATTGCTATGGATACCTCTTGTATTCTATTCCCGGTACTAGTTTGTCATATTGGTTTTATCTAACAGTTTGCTACATTGCATTTCCCTATACATGTTCCTGTTCTCTATATCATTTATATGTTATTCTTCGCGTAAATTTCCGACTACTGCAAAATTCCTTCTCAGCTTACTTACGTCTCCCAGGACAGTATCCAGCTTCACATTATGTTCATATCATATCTCCAGCTTAATTTCTGCTCCTCAGAGACTGCTCACCATATTTCAGGAAGCAGTATCACCACTTTATGCTACCAGGACTATGTCCCATAGTTTCATGTACTGGTCAGTTCAAGATACATAGCAGATTGTTATGTTCCTGCTGTTGTAGAAGCTGTCCAGGATTGTCTATAATAGCAGCTTGATGTTGTTCTTTTGTGATTTTAGTCCACAGATTTTCCTCATTTGCATACCAAAAAAACACTTCTTTTTTAATAAACTGCTTGTAGCTAGTTCTTGAATATCTGCACAAGGGGCGTGACACCAATTTCCACAAAAATGACAATTTATGCATGTCTAAGCCCGTTTGTTTGACTGACCACAGACTACACACAGCTTCATAATGATTTGAATGGTTGATTTACTGCAATTCTACTAGCAACCTCTTGAATATTCTATTAATAACCTCCTTAAATGAAGCTCTAGCTATTTGTATTTCTGTTTCTAACTGTTTTTGTATATTGGACAGCTTACCGTTAGGTTATACATTTGGTTAGGTTAAGCTATATTATACATTAGGTTAGGTTATAGGTTATGTTACGTTGCGTTAGGTTATAGGTTAGGTTAGTTTAGGTTAGGTTATAGGTTATGCTAGGTTAGGTTAGAGGTTAGGTTATAGGTTAGGTTATAGGTTATGCTATAGGTTAGGTTATAGGTTAGGCTATAGGTTAGGTTATAGGTTAGGCTATAGGTTAGGTTATAGGTTAGGCTATAGGTTAGGTTATAGGTTTAGGTTAGGTTATAGGTTAGGTTTAGGTTAGGTTAGTTTAGGTTAGGTGAGCCCGTCCATGGAATTTTGGGGGGATCAAATAAATTTCCACAGTTATTTTGTTATTTTTTAGTTATTTTTGAGTTATTTTTCATTAGTGTTACTATTTGCTGGAACTACTTTGAGATAACATAGATAAAACACTGTATATGCTATGTAAATTTTTATTTTCTTATTAACACCGACTATTTCCCATCAAGGCAGGGTGACCCGAAAAAGAAAAACACTTTCATCATCACTCACTCCATCACTGTCTTGCCAGAGGCGTGCTGATACCACAGTTAAAAAACTGCAACATATATCCACCTTCCTTCAGAGTGCAGGCACTGTACTTCCTACCTCCAGGACTTAAGTCCACTAAATGAATTATAGAAACTAAATTTGAAACCTTAAGCCAGAAATTCGCTAAACAAGAAAGCAGTTCCTCTACAAACAAGGTACTGTAACACTGTTAACCAATATTACTCTAATATTGTTTACCAATATTACAGTATTAATACAATATTACTCTAATATTGTTTACCAATATTACAGTATTAATACAATATTATTAGCCTTTGACAAATTTTTGGTCACCTGATGCCAATAATATTCAGCACAATCATTGTTATTTGTATGGTCATTAAAATATTCTCTGGGTCAACTGGCAATATTTATATTCAACACAGCCAAAGTGGGATTAAGATTTTGTAGGCCCCTGGGCTACAGGTACTGTGAGGCCCCTGGGCTACAGGTACTGTGAGGTCCCTGGGCTACAGGTACTGTGAGGCCCCTGGGCTACAGGTACTGTGAGGCCCCTGGGCTACAGGTACTGTGAGGCCCCTGGGCTACAGGTACTGTGAGGCCCCTGGGCTACAGGTACTGTGAGGCCCCTGGGTTACAGGTATTGTGAGGCCCCTGGGCTACAGGTACTGTGAGGCCCCTGGGCTACAGGTACTGTGAGGCCCCTGGGCTACAGGTACTGTGAGGCCCTGGGTTACAGGTACTGTGAGGCCCCTGGGCTACAGGTACTGTGAGGCCCCTGGGCTACAGGTACTGTGAGGCCCCTGGGCTACAGGTACTGTGAGGCCCCTGGGTTACAGGTATTGTGAGGCCCCTGGGCTACAGGTACTGTGAGGCCCCTGGGCTACAGGTACTGTGAGGCCCCTGGGTTACAGGTACTGTGAGGCCCCTGGGCTACAGGTACTGTGAGGCCCCTGGGCTACAGGTACTGTGAGGCCCCTGGGTTACAGGTATTGTGAGGCCCCTGGGCTACAGGTATTGTGAGGCCCCTGGGCTACAGGTATTGTGAGGCCCCTGGGCTACAGGTATTGTGAGGCCCCTGGGTTACAGGTATTGTGAGGCCCTTGGGCTACAGGTATTGTGAGGCCCCTGGGCTACAGGTATTGTGAGGCCCCCTGGGTTACAAGTACTGTGAGGCCCCTCGGTTACAAGTACTGTGAGGCCCCTGGGCTACAGGTATTGTGAGGCCCCTCAGCTACAGGTATTGTGAGGCCCCTGGGTTACAAATACTGTGAGGCCCCTGGGCTACAGGTACTGTGAGGCCCCTGGGCTACAGGTATTGTGAGGGCCCTGGGTTACAAGTACTGTGAGGCCCCTGGGTTACAAGTACTGTGAGGCCCCTGGGCTACAGGTATTGTGAGGCCCCTGGGCTACAGGTATTGTGAGGCCCCTGGGCTACAGGTACTGTGAGGCCCCTGGGCTACAGGTACTGTGAGGCCCCTGGGCTACAGGTACTGTGAGGCCCCTGGGCTACAGGTACTGTGAGGCCCCTGGGCTACAGGTACTGTGAGGCCCCTGGGCTACAGGTACTGTGAGGCCCCTGGGCTACAGGTACTGTGAGGCCCCTGGGCTACAGGTACTGTGAGGCCCCTGGGCTACAGGTACTGTGAGGCCCCTGGGTTACAGGTACTGTGAGGCCCCTGGGCTACAGGTACTGTGAGGCCCCTGGGCTACAGGTACTGTGAGGCCCCTGGGCTACAGGTACTGTGAGGTCCCTGGGCTACAGGTACTGTGAGGCCCCTGGGCTACAGGTACTGTGAGGCCCCTGGGCTACAGGTACTGTGAGGCCCCTGGGCTACAGGTACTGTGAGGCCCCTGGGCTACAGGTACTGTGAGGCCCCTGGGCTACAGGTACTGTGAGGCCCCTGGGCTACAGGTACTGTGAGGCCCCTGGGCTACAGGTACTGTGAGGCCCCTGGGCTACAGGTACTGTGAGGCCCCTGGGCTACAGGTACTGTGAGGCCCCTGGGCTACAGGTACTGTGAGGCCCCTGGGCTACAGGTACTGTGAGGCCCCTGGGCTACAGGTACTGTGAGGCCCCTGGGCTACAGGTACTGTGAGGCCCCTGGGCTACAGGTACTGTGAGGCCCCCAGTGATATTTTCAAAAAGAAAAAATTAAAGAAATATTAAATTCATTTTTACAAGGCTAGCCACAATTAAAATTCAAATATTTGCTTTGTGTAATTTTTTTGAAACAAATTTTTCCAAAAATCAGTAAACTGTAAGTTGTTGAGTATATCTCTGGAGGCCTTCCAGCTAGCAGAGGCCCCTGGGCTCCAGCCCCCAAAAACCCATGCCTTAATCTGGTCCTGAACACAGCCATTGTTATAAGTATGATCATTATGATATTCTTCAGGTATTTTCTATTCCTTACAATTTTGGAGCAGCACACAACGAAGTAGGTAAAAGACATTGCTATATTGTGAATATACATTTCAAAATGTGACACCATTGTACCTAACTAGTAAATGATATGAGGGGTCATTACCTGTGGCCCGGTCTAGGACCAGGCCTCCTGGTTAATGACCTGATCAGCCAGGTTGTTGGTTGTACTGTACATTAAATTTCTAAAACAATGGCTAATGCCTGCTAGACTGGATTCAATATTATAAAATGCATATCCCTTTTTTTATATCATTATACTGTACCTCTTCTTTTTTTACTTCATTTTCATCTACAGTACTTCATGTTGCATATATCTTACATTACTTATTGCACCTCTCTTGTTATATTCTTCCCCATGATTACTTGTTGCTCCTTGAGGGCTGGGTCTGTATTAGTAGCAGGTAGTGACACAGAGCAGATGACTGCCTCTCAACTCCATCATCACCTACCACTTTCCTCTTGCTTTCCTCTGTACCTACTCTTGTCTGCTTTCTCTCCTCCTCTTCCAATGCAGCACTTGCAGCATTACCAGAATAATAGCTTCAATGATATCAGTGTAAAGGATTTAGTAGAGATTCAGTTCCCTTGTCTTCAGTAGCCACAACCAGCAATACTCTTTGTACCAGGTATGTTGTCCTTTCTGAAAAATAATTTATGAATAAACTACCGTAGAGCAGTAAAAAGAACAAACAACAAAAGATAATAATTATCAACTGCCTGGTTTTCCAATTTCATGGGATGGAGGTTATTGTGCAAGAAATTAGTTATAACAATATAAAAAATAAGGACAGCCATAACCAGGTTGTGATCAGCACATGCATTTTGAATGTATGAACGAGGTGAATTAAAGAATTTGTGGTGGAATGTCCCCCCCCCCCATACAACAGACAAACAAATTTTATTTCTTTGCATAGGCTACAATGTGTGAAAGCATATAAGCGTGTTGATGGGTTCAAAGAAAGCCACTAACATGCTGGGGCATTTCAGGCAGACTAATCCTAATACATACAGACTACGTAATACTAAACATATAAAGAGTGGTAAATTTTAATTATACATTGTTTTCCTTATTACAACAGTGAGGTACCTAATCATCTGCAGGAATCAAATATATAGCTGAGATGAAGTATATAAAAAATGACAGTACAATAATTAAATTGAAACTATTTTAAGTTTAATTTTTTTTAAGTAGAAAAATTGACAAGGGGACAAAATCCTGTCTCTCAAAGAACCATAAGTCTCTGTGTAACCACATGCTCCACCAATTTACAAATGGATCTGGTAAGAGCAATGTATCACTGTTAGATGAGCTGTACCCAAAATACAGTAACCAGTTTACAAAAAAGGGAAAATTACAGTACTGCAGTTTTCCAATGAAAGACTAAAACACTCTAAGACCAAATCTGATTGAAGAAAGCAAAGTGCCAGAGAATATAAGTGCTGTAGCAAGGGAACATGCCAGACAGCATAACCTGACACCTTAAGAGGGCTCATATAAGTTGAAGAGGATGTAAAAGGCACATTATAGTGATCATCATTATTAGAGGCAAAACCCAATACGATGGATTGATAAATGGGTTAATCTGCCATGTCAGTGAAGTTAACAAATTCCACAGCAATAATGTCTAATACAGGAGATGGGTTAGGCAAGTACTTGCCTGCAGATTTTCCCATTAGTCATCTCAGACACTAATAACATACACTATCACAGCCCTACTGTAGGTTGTACTCTCCCAGGATAAGTCAGGTTTCTTTCTCAGTTCAAACCACTAGCATTCAACTTGACCTTGGAGTGCCCAAATGCTCATGAAGGGTTCTTTATCCAAAGAATTAATCTCCTATGTGCAACTAACTAAAAATATTGTTTGTTGCAAATATATTGGCAATTCTACTTTTCCTGAAAGCTTGAAACATTGACATCAGTCATTACTGTAATAGTGCAATCCCAGCACCCTATGGTCATTTTTTTTTTTAACTCACCAGCCATCTCCTACTGAGGCAGGGTGACCTAAACAGAAAAACGAAAGTTTATCTTTGTACATTTAGTAATTTATACAGAAGAGGTTACTAGCCCCTTGCTCCTGGCATTTTAGTTGCCTCTTACGACATGCATGGCTTACAGAGGCAGGATTTTTCTCTGCTTCCTCATGTTCAGTTATTAAATATAAATGCATAAATATTAATCAACACAGGAAGTAATTTAAATTTGAAAGTATACTCAGTGGGGTACCCCTATTTCCAGTTAAAACTTGGACAAAGTATTTATTTCTGAGAGACTAGCCCCCATTTAAGGAAAAAAGGGTGCCTTTGTACTAGTGAAGAACCCTTGATCCAAGGAATTGAAGGTATGAATACTCCTTTTTGAATCAAATTTGATTATAGTATCTTCCATTTGCCAGTTTAATGCTTTCCCATGAATAAAATAATACATTCCCCAGAACGTCATGCCTGGTGTTGCTGGTCTTTAAGCGACTTTGACTTTAGTTCTCTGTGATGTTCTTTGCAACTCATTTGCATTTCCTGGGAAAGTCGCATTTGTCAAACGCGGGAAATGGCTTTTGGTCTTGATTTACTGTCACCTTCCATAATTTACCAAGGTTTCTGCTGTAAGTAGGTAAGTAAGTTTATTCAGGTATACACAAATACAGTTACATAGATTATCATACATAGCAGCATATGTGTAGAGAACTTGGGATAACCCAAAAAAGTCAGTGACATATTACCATTGGGGTCCTTTTAATCATATTCAATCATCTTTAATCATATTCTTTTAATCATATTCTAAGATATGTTTTATAAGGGATTCTTTATAGGGGGACTTGGGTCCTCCCCCAAAAAACTACAGTTAATCACCTCTTGTATTAAACCTCATTACCTCTCATTTCTCAGGCACTGTATGACCCCTGTATATTTAGCACTTCCTCATTAATGTAACATTTTAATATAACACTAATATGCATCTCCATCTGTAGGTGAAAACTGAATTACATTGACATGGCTAGACAGCAGGGTTAGAAACTGAGCTAATGTTGAGGTTAACAAATTATTTTTTTTCAACATGTCAGCCACCTCCCACCAATGGAAGTTGACCAAAAAAAGAAAGAAACACTCTCACCATCATTCAACACTTTTACCATAATTCACACATACTCTCTTTGCAGAGGTTCCCAGTTTAGATGTCACTCAAAACAGCCAATATTCCGAACCCCCTCCTTTAAAGTGCAGGCACTGCACTTCCCACCTCCAGGACTCAAGTCAAGCTAATTGGTTTCCCTGAATCCCTTCACAAAATATTATCCTGCTCACACTCCAACACCTCATCAGGTCCCAAAAACCATTCATCTCCATTCTCTCCTATCTAACATGCTCACACATGCCATCTGCATGTCCAGGCCCCTTGCACAAAAAACCTCTTTTACCTCCTCCCTCCATTCTTTCCTAGGATAATCCCTACCCCTCCACTACAGATTTATACACTCTCCAAGTCATTCTATTTTGCTCAATCCTCTCTAAATGACCAAACTGCCTCAATAACCCTTCTTCATCCCTCTGAATAGTACCTGTAACTCCACACCTCCTCCTAATTTACACACTACGAATTCTCTGCATAATATTTACACCATACGTTGCCCTTAGACATGCCATCTTCATTGCCTCCAACCTCCTCTTTGCTGCAGCATTCACAACCCAAGCTTCACATCCACATAAGAGTGTTGGGACCACTATACTCTCGTACATTCCCTTTTTTGCCTCCATGAATAACGTTTTTTTGTCTCCAGAGATACCTCAATGCACCACTCACCTTTTTTCCTTTATCAGTTCTATGGCTAACCTCATCCTTCATAAACTCACCTGCTGACAAATCTACACCCAAATATCTGAACACATTCACTCTTTCCATACTTCCTCCCTCCAACGTGATACCCAGTTATTCTTTACATAACTCGTTTGATACCCTCATCACCTTACTCTTATCTATGTTCACTTTATAGTAGGTTGGTAGACAGCACCCACCCAAGGAAGTACTACTGTCCTGCCAAATGAGTGTTAGACAGAAACCCGTATTTGTTTTACATTATCGTAGAAATACTGATGTCTTCTTTTCCTGTCTCATAAACACACAAGATAACAGATATATCTTGTTACTTTTACTTACAATTAGGTCACACTACACATGTATGTATACACACTCACTGGAGTTTTCTTTGGTTTTTCTTAACAGTTCTTGTTCTTATTACTCTCTTTTCATATCCATGAGGAAGTGGAATTAGAATTTTTCCTCCACAATCAATGTGTAATGTAAAAGTCAATTAAAATGCTGAGAGCAATGGGCTAGTAACTCCTTTTCCCATACAGTTTACCAAAAATAAAAAGAAAAAACTTTAACCAAAAATTATGACACCAAATACAAATACAGTAGGACCCCCATAACCATGGGGAATATGTTCCAAGGACCTGCTGTGGATACCCAAACTGCAGATAGTAGCAAACCCTATATCTGTCCTATATTTTTTTTTTTTTTCAACAAGTCGGTCGTCTCCCACCGAGGCAGGGTGACCCAAAAAAGAAAGAAAATCCCCAAAAAGAAAATACTTTCATCATCATTCAACGCTTTCACCACACTCACACATTATCACTGCTTTTGCAGAGGTGCCCAGAATACAACAGTTTAGAAGCATATACGTATAAAGATACACAACATATCCCTCCAAACTGCCAATATCCCAAACCACTCCTTTAAAGTGCAGGCACTGTACTTCCCATTTCCAGGACTCAAGTCCGACTATATGAAAATAACCGGTTTCCCTGAATCCCTTCACTAAATATTACCCTGCTCACACTCCAACAGATCGTCAGGTCCCAAGTATCATTCGTCTCCATTCACTCCTATCTAACACGCTCATGCATGCTTGCTGGAAGTCCAAGCCCCTCGCCCACAAAACCTCCTTTACCCCCTCTTTCCAACCCTTTCGAGGACGACCCCTACCCCTCTTTCCTTCCCCTATAGATTTATATGCTTTCCATGTCATTCTACTTTGATCCATTCTCTCTAAATGACCAAACCACCTCAACAACCCCTCTTCTGCCCTCTGACTAATGCTTTTATTAACTCCACACCTTCTCCTAATTTCCACACTCCGAATTTTCTGCATAATATTTACACCACACATTGCCCTTAGACAGGACATCTCCACTGCCTCCAACCGTCTCCTCGCTGCTGCATTTACCACCCAAGCTTCACATCCATATAAGAGTGTTGGTACTACTATACTTTCATACATTCCCTTCTTTGCCTACATAGATAACGTTTTTGACTCCACATATACCTCAACGCACCACTCACCTTTTTTCCCTCATCAATTCTATGGTTAACCTCATCCTTCATAAAGCCATCCGCCGACACGTCAACTCCCAAGTATCTGAAAACATTCACTTCTTCCGTACTCCTCCTCCCAATTTGATATCCAATTTTTCTTTATCTAAATCATTTGATACCCTCATCACCTTACTCTTTTCTATGTTCACTTTCAACTTTCTACCTTTACACACATTCTCAAACTCATCCACTAACCTTTGCAATTTTTCTTTAGAATCTCCCATAAGCACAGTATCATCAGCAAAAAGTAACTGTGTCAATTCCCATTTTGAATTTGATTCCCCATAATTTAATCCCACCCCTCTCCCAACACCCTAGCATTTACTTCTTTTACAACCCCATCTATAAATATATTAAACAACCATGGTGACATTACACATCCCTGTCTAAGACCTACTTTTACCAGGAAGTAGTCTCCCTCTCTTCTACACACCCTAACCTGAGCCTCACTATCCTCATAAAAGCTCTTTACAGCATTTAGTAACTTACCACCTATTCCATATACTTGCAACATCTGCCACATTGCTCCTCTATCCACTCTATCATATGCCTTTTCTAAATCCATAAATGCAATAAAAACTTCCCTACCTTTATCTAAATACTGTTCACATATATGCTTCAATGTAAACACTTGATCTACACATCCCCTACCCACTCTGAAGCCTCTTTACTCGTCCGTAATTCTACATTCTGTCTTACCTCTAATTCTTTCAATTATAACCCTACCGTATACTTTTCCTGGTATACTCAGTAAACTTATTCCTCTATAATTTCTACAATCTCTTTTGTCCCCTTTCCCTTTATATAAAGGGACTATACATGCTCTCCGCCAATCCCTAGGTACCTTCCCCTCTTTCATACATTTAATTAAACAAAAGTACCAACCACTCCAACACTATATCCCCCCCCCCCTGCTTTTAACATTTCTGTCATGATCCCATCAGGTTCCAGCTGCTTTACCCCCTTTCATTCTATATATTCATCCTATATATACCTATTATAAAGTTTAATTGATAAATTATGCACAATAAGTGGAAAATTATCAATTTTTCACTGATGGGAAGCACTTCACAGCTTCTCTAAGGCTTTGCAGAACTGCCAGCTTCTCTACTATTGCACTTTGGGTCCATTATTTTGCAAAATTAAGAGGTATTTTTGGGCCATAGTAAACCGTGGATACCGAATCAGTGGATATGGGGGTTCTACTGTATACTAAATACAGTAATCTATCCGTGATTTATTTTTGTGATAGTGAAATATTTATAGCATATCATGTATCATTCTTACCATGAATGTTGTTGAGCCACTGTGGCTTGCTCTTCCACATAACTCCTGCCACATAGATGGGGATGCCAGAGAGGGTCATTAGTATGCCCATGCCTGCACAACATACAAGTCTATATTAATATACAAATAATTATATTCTGAACATCTGTACAAAGAAATCCTTAATTTTGGTTACATTCATGAACACAGTCTTACACTTGTAATAAAAGTTACTGTACATATAAATTAAAAGACAGTATGAAAGTTAAAAACCTTTAAGAACCAATAAAAAGTATCCTAAAAATAAATCATGGAACAGATGGGGTTTGAAGCCATGGCAAGTGAGCAGTAAAACTGTAGGCCACTTGGTCAGCTGAGTGGCTTATGCACTGGCCTGGAGTGGCTTATGCACTGGCCTGGAGTGGCTTATGCACTGGCCTGGAGTGGCTTATGCACTGGCCTGAAGTGGCTTATACACTGGCCCCTCTTCAAGGGGGCTCCTTGGCGTGGTGAAGAGGCTCTTGGTCTGAGGAATTAGACCTGTTGGTCTCCTTCCTCAGACCGAACCTAATTACCCCCCAATCCCCCCTTCCCTATCCCATCCTCCCCTTTTTCCTTTCCTCCTCCTCCTCCCCACCCCTTCCTTTTGCCCTTCCTCTTTTTGGCCTTCAGGATTTTTCCCATAGGCACACTAGTTCATAGGTAGGGGAAGGGTACCGGGGTCCATCCCATTCCGTTGAGGTTCTTGGCGGTGGCGTAGTTTGCCGTGGGATCTGGATCGCCTGGGGATGTCCCGATCCCTCTTCAGTATCCCGGAGGGTGGCTTTGGGTGTCTTTCGGGCGACGGGTGTATGTCTGGAAGCCACCTTTCGGATTCCAGGGGTGGTGGCTGAGGGAGGTATGCTTTGTGGCGGATATCCGGCCGCCCTCCCTTTTGTCCACCGAGGTAGCTCGGCAGATGTGAGGTTGCTATCCCGGATTGCTGGTTTACTGGCATGAAGGGTAGGGTATGGCACGGGTTCCATGCTGCATCTGTGCTACTTGCGGTGCTGAGGTCCTCTTGGGTGCGGAGGGAGATTTCTGGCCCTTTCATTCCTCCTAGGAACTATCCCTCCCCGGTCCCCCCTTTTTTTATTCTTTTTTTTATTTTTATTTTCTTTTCTTTTCTTTTTTTTCTTAAAAACCAATGCTTCACACGGGATGAGAAAATTCTAGTTAGGAAAACAAATGTAGGTCAACTGTACACAATCACGAACGAGAATGATCTATCACGATTTCTCAGGGATACTAATCTTACAGAGAATAACTAAACAATGTCCAACCTAAAAGCCTACGTAGTGTAATGTATGTTTTGCTCCATTATTGTTCAAATTTCATTGTACAATCTCTTAGTAATTAAATAATCAACTACCTCATTATGTGATTTTACTAGTAAGCATAAGTCACCTTATGTAATTTTCTTATTTACTATTGTTTGCTTAAATATTAGCTGAATTGATACTTTCTCTGTCCATATTACTACCTCATATTTTTTTAAATACTATTAATTGATATTACTTACTAAAATTAATAATTAATTACCATTTTTACTATCATTACAATTTACTCTTAACATTTTTGACATCATTTAATTACCATTACTTGTCTAATTACCATAACCTGTTTTAATACCACATTTACTAGAGTACTCTTAATTACCTTGTACTGCCAAATAACCTCTAGTATAACTACCAGTCCAATAATGAATCCAAATAACTGTTCTTAAAAATTAATACTTGAAATAAACATTACTTTCTTTTTTTTTTTTTGCTAATTAATCTTTTTTTGTAATCATTATTACTTACTAAAATTTTATTAAACACCATATTTACTACCAGTCAATTTTACTTTTGTACATTAATCATTACTTTATACTTTTCATAACATTTTGTTGCCAAATTTTCAAGTTTATATATTCAACTCCAACCTTTATATTATCCTTTGTACCTGTGTACCTGTCTACCTGTGTACCTGTCTACCTGTGTACCTGTCTACCTGTGTACCTGTCTACCTGTGTACCTGTCTACCTATGTACCTGTCTACCATCTTACTATCATATTATAACCAAGTCATTGCCATTGTTATTTTTTACTTATTATTCTTTTGGTACTTTAATTTGTGAATTTTATTTTGTCAATTTAAATCTAGTTATACTCTTGATCTTGTTAACAACCTATACCAGACCCTAGTGCAATTGCAAGTACCATTTTAATTTGTATTTTTATATTATAAGTTTATACCTAGTTGTACTTTAGCTCATTCTAGCTCAATACTTAGACAATGCTAAATTCATTATATTAGACCTTAGTGCAATTACAAGAGTGAGTCTGGTGCCACTTGTAATTTGTTTTTTTTTTATAGTATTAGTTTATACCTAGTTGTACTTTGGCTCATTCTAGCACAACACATAGACAATATCAATTTCATTATGTTTATTAGTGACTATACTCTATATGACCAAAGTGCTTTAGCGGTATACTTATCCAAACCTCCCACCACTACAGAAATTAGTATTAGAACTCACCACATAATACAGGATATAAACAACCACTATTTAAACCTAAAAGATGAATGATCATGTTGACCCTGATCTGAACCTCCATAATCTAACACGCAATCAAAACTTATTACACAGCATCACAAGCCAGCACTATCCTGAACACTGCTCAAAGTCTATCAGTTCTTAACTACAACATCAGGTCCTTAAGCAAACACTATGATGACCTCCTGGCACTCCCTGAGTCACTAAAGACACCCTTCTCCTGCATTATTCTTACTGAGACCTGGCTTAAGCAGGACACAATAGATATCTACCCACTACCAGGATACACAGCAATCCACAACTGCAGACCATACCAAGTTGGGGGTGGTACTGCAATCTATTACTCTAACCACTATTTTGTATTAGCACTAATTGCTTTAGTGATGAATATGGGGAATACATTTTTGCTAATTTTACTGTAAAAAACCTCAAGACGCCTATAACAATCGGTGCCATATACTGGATACCCCACACAAACATCCCAAACTTCAGTGAGAATCTAAAGTCACTAATAACAAACAGACAAATGAACAAGCACCACCTTCTCTTAGCTGGAGACTTCAATATCAACCTTGGCCTACCAGATGATCAGACTGTAACTGATTTCATCAACAATATGAACAACACACTTCTCATACCAACAATAACTAAACCAACCAGGCTGACTGAGACAAGTGCAACCATAATAGACCACATATGGACCAATATACTAGCCCCCCTTAAATCAGGGATAATCAAAGACAGCACTACTGACCACTACCCTACCTTCCTCTTAACAAACATTAGTAAGCCACCACTCGAATACAACAAAGTTTCATTTAGACTCCATGACGAGGCCTCAATAAGGAATTTCACAGCAGACCTAGAGACTGTTGACTGGCCTACAGAATTCTCCAATGCCAATGGTATTGACGATTGGACAGACATTTTTCTTAGCAAAATACTTAGACTATACAACAAACATTGTCCTATAAAAACGAAACAGCTCACGAATAAACTGCTTGGTTGCCCATGGCTAACCAGCACCATTCTGAAATCCATTGATAAGAAACACCAATATGAAAAGCAATACAGACAGGGCTTAATACACAAAGATATTCTTAAACAATATTCATCAGTTCTCACCAAATTAATAAAGAAAGCCAAACAACTATACTGCTCCAGTAGATTCACTGACACAAGAGGAGATATAAAAAAGACCTGGAAAACACTTTCCCAGATTCTGGGGACCCACAAACTGAAAAAAACAAGAATATTGTTCTAACTAAACCTCATGAAACACCACTGCATCCCACTGATACAGCTAACAAGATAAACGACTTCTTCTCAAACATATGATCTAATCTTGCCAGTAAAATCCCACGTACCAATGCCCTTGCCGGGGATTACCTAGATGGGAATTTCCCAAGTTCCTTCTATCTTGTACCAACTGAGCCCACGGAAGTCACCGAGATCATAAAGTCACTTAAAAATAACTCAGGGAATCTGTCTCACGTCCCACCATTATTGTACAAGCGAGCGACCCATGTCCTGTCGCATGCTATTACATTACTTTTTAACAAGTCACTAGAAATAGCACTTTCCCGACACCACTCAAGACAGCAAGGGTTACACCAATACATGAAGGTGGTGACCCTACAGACGTAAACAACTATAGGCCAATATCAAACTTACCATTGCTATCCAAAATCTTCGAGAAACTCGTGCACAGGAGACTATATTCATTTATAACATCACAAAACATACTCAACCCCTGCCAATTTGGATTCAGGAAAAATAAAAGCACTAATGATGCAATTATAAAAATTCTAGACCTGCTTTACACAGCATTGGAAAATAAGGAATATCCGCTGGGAATTTTTAATGACCTAAGAAAAGCGTTTGACACAGAAGACCACGGCATCCTACTCCACAAACTTGACCACTATGGTATAAGAGGCCATGCGCTTGCGTATTTTAAATCCTACCTTTCTAATAGGTATCAGTATGTCACCATTAAAGACACAGCCTCATCAATACTGCCACTTGATACTGGAGTTCTGCAGGGAAGTGTCCTTGGACCCCTGCTCTTCCTCATTTACATCAATGATCTTCCAAACATATCCCAACGCCTGAAACCCATTCTCTTTGCTGACGACACAACTTATGCTATCTCCCACCCTAATCTTATCGCCCTCAACACCATTATTAACGAGGAGCTGCTCAAAATATCAACTTGGATGACAGCCAATAAACTTACACTTAACACTGGCAAAACCTACTAGTATATTGTGTTTGGTAGCAGAGTAGGTGTTGCGCAACTTAACATTAAGATCGACAACACTCTAATTGCCAGATATAATGAGGGCAAATTCCTTGGCCTATACCTCGACAACAACCTAAATTTCAGCACCCATATCCAACACATAACAAAAAAAGTATCCAAAACAGTTGGGATCCTCTCCAAGATACGATACTACGTGCCGCAAACTGCCCTTCTCACACTATACCATTCACTTATATATCCATACCTCACCTATGCTATCTGTGCTTG